ACCAGGGTCACCCCAGGGTGGTCAGGAGGTTTTGGGGACATGGAGGGGTTGTGGTCACCAGGGTCACCCCAGGGTGGTCAGGAGGTTTTGGGGACATGGAGGGGTTGTGGTCACCAAGGCTGAGGGGCTGTAGGGTCCTGGCAGGGTTGTGGTCACCAGGGGTGCCCTGGGGTGTTTGAGGGGCTTTGGGGACATGGAGGGGTTGTGGTCACCAAGGTCACCTCAGTGCTCGCCAGCCCTGGTATAAGTGGGACAGAGGGACATTCGGGGATCTTTGGGGACATGGAGGGGTTGTGGTCACCAGGGGTGTCCTGGGGTGGTCAGGGGGCTGTGGGGACGTGGGAGCTGCGGCCACCAAGGCTGCCCTGGTCCTTGCCAGCCCTGGTGAGGGCACGTGTGCTGGGGTGTTTGCACGTGTGTCACTGTCCCTGTCACTGTCCCTGTGTGTGTGTCACTGTCCCCTGTGTGTGTCACTGTCCCTGTCACTGCGCCTGTGTGTGTCACTGTCCTCTGCGTGTGTCACTGTCCCTTGGTGCGCCACTGTCACTGTGTGTGTGTCACTGTCACTGTGTGTGTGTGTCACTGTCCCTTGGTGTGTCACTGTGTGTGTCACTGTCCCTGTCACTGCGCCTGTGTGTGTCACTGTCTCTTGGTGTGTGTCACTGTCTCTTGGTGCGTGTCACTGTCCCTTGGTGTGTCACTGTCCCTGTGTGTGTCACTGTCCCTGTCACTGTCCCTGTATATGTCAGTGTCCCTGTGTGTGTGTGTCACTGTCCCTTGGTGTGTCACTGTGTGTGTCACTGTCCCTGTCACTGTCCCTGTGTGTGTCGCTGTCCCCTGTGTGTGTCACTGTCTCTTGGTGTGTCACTGTCCCAGTGTGTGTGTCACTGTCCCTGTCACTGTCCCTGTATATGTCAGTGTCCCTGTGTGTGTGTGTCACTGTCCCTTGGTGTGTCACTGTCACTGTGTGTGTATCACTGTCACTGTGTGTGTGTCACTGTGCCACTGTCACTGTCCCTTGGCGTGTCAGTCCCCGTGTGTGTCCCCGGGTGTGTCCCCGGGTGTGTCCCCCTGTGTCCCCGTGTGTGTCACTCTGTGTGTCACTGTCCCTGTGTTTGTGTCCCCGTGTGTTCCTGTGTGTGTGTCCCCGTGTGTCCCCCTGTGTGTGTCCCTGTCTGTGTCCCCCTGTGTGTCCCCGTGTGTCCCCGTGTGTCCCCGTGTGTCATCCCGGACACGCTGTCACTCCCTGGGCGCACCCGTGGCATCGGGGCTCCCTTAGGGGCTCCCGGGAGCCCCGTTTGGGGTCCCTGCGGGGCCTGGCTGATCGGGACCCCCCTTTTGAGGTGCTCAGGACACGCCTTGGGGGGTTTGGGGGATCAGGGAACCCTGTTTGGAGTCCCTGTGGGATCAGGGAGCCGTTTTGGGGTCCCTGTGGGATCAGAGAACCGTTTTGGGGTCCCTGTGGGATCTGGGAGCCGTTTTGGGTTCCCTGTGGGATCAGAGAACCGTTTTGGGTTCCCTGCAGGATCTGGGAGCCGTTTTGGGGTCCCTGTGGGATCAGAGAACCGTTTTGGGGTCCCTGCAGGATCTGGGAGCCGTTTTGGGATCCCTGCGGGATCAGAGAACCGTTTTGGGGTCCCTGTGGGATCAGAGAACCGTTTTGGGGTCCCTGCGGGATCAGGGAGCCGTTTTGGGGTGCTTTGAGTGCCCACCTGGGATCCTTGGGTGTCCCATCCCGGATCTTCGGGATGCCCAAGGATCACGGTTCCTATTTGGGATGTGCCTGGCGCCCACCTGGGCTGCTTTGGGAACACGTTTGGGATGTCTGGGGCGCCCACCTGACCGGGTGCCCACCTGGGGGGGACCTTGGGGTGTCCACCTGGGATCCTTGGACCTTCCATCCGTGGTTCCCGGGATGCCCACCCGATTTCTGCCCCTCTTTGGGGTACATCGAGCACCCATTTGGGATTTCCAGGGATTCCGCGATTCCGACGGCGCCCACCTGACCGGGTTCCCCCGTTTCGGGCTCCTTCAGGTGCGCCCCCCACCCCTTTGCGCCCCCTCCTCACCCCCGCGGGACCTTCCCGGTGTCCCCGCAGAGCTCCGGGAGGCCGTGGAGGAGGTGCTGCCGGACCTGCGGCGCGACGGCGTCCGCGTCTTCTACCTGAGCTCGGCGTCGCCCACGCCGGGGGTGGAGGCGCTGCTCCCCGCCATCGAGGCGGCCCCCGACGAGCCCCTGCCCGCCTGGCACCGCGCCGGCGTCACCGCTGACTCCAAGGCCATGTTCATCTACACCTCCGGCACCACCGGTGAGCTGGGGAACCTCGCAGGGGCTGGGCTGGGGCGAGCAGGAGGAGCTTGAGAGGGTGGGGCAGCTTGGAGGGGTCTTGGGGGGGCCTTTCTCGAGGCCTGACCACTGCTGGTCCACCTGGGCCAGGTGTGTCCTGGCCATGTCCATGTGGGCAACTTGGAGGAGTCTTGGGGGGGGTCTTTCTCGAGGCCTGACCACTGCTGGTCCACCTGGGCCAGGTGTGTCCTGGCCGTGTCCACCTGGGCAGGTCAGCGTGGGCAGCTTGGAGGGGTCTTGGGGGGGTCTTGGGGGGGTCCTTCTCCAGTGCTGACCACCACTGGTCCACCTGGGCCAGGTGTGTCCGGTGTCCCTGGGAGGGTTGGGCACCACTGACGGGATGAGCTGGACCAGGTTCCTCACGGCTCCTCTGACAAGGCACAAAGAGCCCCCCAGCTGCAGGGGGGTCACCCCCGCTGGTCACTCCAGGAACCAGCCAGGACCGCGCCCCACCACCTGTTGTCCCTCCCCCGCAGGGCTGCCCAAAGCCGCGGTGATCACAGAGCTGAGGCTGATGATGGTGGCCAGCCTGGGCCGGATCTGCGGCCTGCGGCCTGACGACGTTGTCTACACCACGCTGCCGCTCTACCACTCGGCCGGGCTGCTGGTCGGGCTCGGGGGGTGCCTGGAGGTCGGTAGGTACCCCCCACCTCACATGGACAGGATGGATGGGGAAGGGCTGGAGAGATGGATGGATGGATGGATGGATGGATGGATGGATGGATGGATGATGGATGGATGGATGG